GACCTGCTTCCAAAGGGATGGGTGGGTGTTTCCCATGGTCCCCTCTTCTGCCATGCCCTTGCAGCACTCTCATTAGTGCACCTTTCTGTTGTGCTGAGCAGTGCTTCTTGTCATTCTTATTTGCAAGATGGATTCCCTGGCCCTGGTGCTGTGTTAATTCTGTCAGTGATCTCCGGTCAGTGAGCCTGGAGCCTGCAGAAGGAGAAAAGGGAAGCAAGAGAGAGGTAAAGATGGCCTTGCCCATGTTTGCCCAGGCTGGTCCTGCCTCAGGAGGTACTCAGTTCCGTCAAGTCACATTCAGTGGGTGTCTACACTGGCCAGGGCCCTGTGCTGGCCACTTGGAGGGAGACAGGGCAAATCATACCTGAGCCTGTTCTTAGGAAGCTCACAGCCCATTGGGGCAAGTGGAGCCACCATCACACTCCTGGGGTGCTACCTGGGGGTAGATACCCAGATCCCCAAAACCAGAGCAGGAAGAGACAAATGCCTGCCAGATGGCAAAGTCTTCCTGGGGAGGTGGCCTTTGAATAGAGCCTCATAGGAGGCTCTATCAGATGAAGGGTCTCTGCTCAGAGGAGAGGTGTGGCGGGCTGGACTTCGGGCTGGACCTTCAGGCACCTCCCTTCATCTAGAGATCAGATCCAGGATCTAGATCAGAGATTGCAAACGCAAGTCCTCAGGGACTCAATGATCACACAGAGGAGTGAATCAGGCCAGACTAGAGACTCCAGGGGGCACAAGCATCCTGTCTAAACGTCAGCTTGACTGGACTGTCCCTGTGTGGGAAGACAGGTCCACTATGGCCAGATCTCTGATGTTTCAACAGAAACCAGAAAGTCCAAGCAATTATGTGAAATATCCAAATTTCACAGAGGCGGAAATGCATATCAAATTATGTCAAACCAGACTGTATCCCACGGCCTCCATCCAGATTTGAAACCTCGAGCCAGTTTGCCTCGTGCAGGCGAGTCCTGCTCTCCCAGGCCTCTCCTGGCCTTTGAACATCAGCTCCCAGGTCTGCCGCTCCCGCCCAACCTTCCTCTCTCTGGAAGGGGACTGGCTGGTGACAAGAGCCAATCGGGACAGAGAAGCGAGGAGAGGGGCGGGAGTTCATGACAAAGGAGAAAGCAGGTGAGCAGTCATCAAACCCCATGGGCAGCAAGTGTATGGGATTGACGGATTTTAATTACATCTCATTCTAATCCTTAACATTTATCTAAAAAAGTGACGGGGGCGGGCAGGAGGGCGGGTCACGAGCGTGCTCAGCCCCAGAATTGCTGTGTGTCTAATTAGAAGTTTTCTCCCTCTTGATCACCTAAAGTCAAATTCATTTACTCTGCTCGAGTTGAGGGTTTAATTGGATTCTTGTTTTTCCTCCTCCTGTCTTTTCCCCCATCTCCTTCGCCATCCAAAGGGCCTTTCCGGGCGCAGGAAGAGGCCCAGCATCTCATTAGGAGAGGAGCATCACTGCCAGGACACTTATGACAGTTCCCTTCCAGCCCGTGGCAGCAGCATTAACTCAGGATGGCAAGCGTTGTTCAGACCGTCATGACTGAGGGCCTTGCGATGATGTCTGATGGGCACAAGATGGGCACCTGTAGGGGGCAGGAAGGGACACAGGGCAGGTTTTCTGATCCAGCAGACCTAGTGAAAGAGGAGACAGTCCTGGAGTCCTCAGTGGCTTTTGCAGGATTTTACTGGGATTTACCGGGTACACAGCAGGCAGGGGTGCTGGGGGGGCCGGGAGGCTGGCAGGCCTCCCAGCCCCAAGCAAGTCTTCACTCTTTTCTGGGCTCTCCGGCCTTCTCTCGTGTTCTCTCTGCTTCTCTGCTCTCCTGCTTCTCTGCTTCTCTTCTGCTGGCATTCCCATGATGCCGCCCTTAAAGGCCCAGTCTTAGCCCAGGTGAATCCCATCTACATATGCCCACACCCTACTCCAGGTGCCAGCCATCAGGCAGTCATTTGGGACCACAGGGTTCCGTCATCTATCCTAATGGTGGGAGGGTAGAAAACCTGATACTTTCACCTTACCCTACAGCACCCCACCCCAGACAAAGGTACGCCTCCTTCCTGCCCTTTACCCCTCCCAGATTCTCAGTGTCATTCCAGCCCCTCCCAGCGAGGCCAGGAGGCCTCATGTCGTTTCAATCCTAGCTCAGCTCAGTGAGTTTAATATGCCGGTTCTGGAAGAAAAGTGGCAGTGAGCAGCAATTAGAGGCCAGCCAGCTACATCTAGGGACATTGTGGAGGCACTAAAACCACTAATTCTTTCACCAGGTAATGAGGTTTCTGCCTCTCTCTCTCTCTCTCTTTTTTTTTTTTTCCTGTGCCTCTCTCTCCCCTTGTCAATTACCTCCAAACCCTGCAGTTTAGCTCTGGCTGGCAGGTTGGTAATCAGAGGTTGGAGAAGGCAGAAGGCAGCTCCGCACCCACAGCATAGTTCTCTCACATGATCAGAAACTCCATGGGGGCTGGAGATGGGAGATAAAGGGGTGCAGACACAAGCCCCCAAATCTGGGCTGCAGTCCTGACTGTGCCTGGGCTGGGGACAGTCTAATGCAGAGCAGAACTCGACTGGAGTCCAACTGGGTCACATGCCAGCCCTACCACCTAGGGAGTGTGACCCTGCCGCTCTGAGCCTCCGTTTCCCCATTGGAACACAGGGTTAGCATAAGGTTGTTCTGCAGAATCGATGTGCCTGGCAGATGGCAAGAAGCCATCACACAACCCATGGTAGAACAGCTGTTATGTTCTTTGAAGCATTTAGCAGGACCCCTGGCACCCATTAAATGCTCGATAAATAATAACCATTATGAGCTGACCTAAGAAAGTCAGCTAACCTCTTTGGGCCTCCGGCTTGCCCATCTGTAGAATGGAGAAAATCATTGCCCCTGCCTGGCCCTTCGAGTTGTGAGTAACAAATATGTTCATTTGCATTTAGACAAGAGTGGCTGGCACAGACTTAGCGATCCTGGTATGTTGGTGATGATTATTCTGATAACTTTCTGAGTTTGGGCAAATCGTTTAACTTCTCTGCACCTCTGTTCTCTCATCTTCAAATAAATAAATAAAAGATTAAAAAATAGCACCATCTGTCTTCTCCAACTCACAGGGTTATTGTGATAATTAAATGAGATAGTGTTGATAAAAAGCATTTGATAATCTGTAGGTGCTCTCAAAATGTTAACTGTTAGCATCACTCTATTCAAAGGTAATTAGCTGGTAAATAAAGAAAAAGCATTTATCCTGCTTTTCTTGTGTAAACTGTACTGCTGGATACCCAAATTGTAGATGAGGGACATTTCTCTTTTCAGAAGCATTTCAGCTAATAAATGAGAAAGGGATGATGGGATTAGAATCTCACCTAATCGCAAGCCCTAACAGATTATAGGATCTAGATATTGAACACCCACAGCTGTTAACATCCTCACACTGGAAACATTATGCATTACGAGCCTCCAGGTGAAAACTAAAAGTTAAAAAAAGTCAACTTGAAGCTTCTCAAGTCTCAAGAGCTCATCATCAATTCACAAGAAATATAGAGGACAGAGGACTGAATGAGAAGACGCCGTGGACTGCAGCTGGCACAGGGACAACACAGATCAAGCATCTGGTTTCTGAAAAAAATATCTGTTTTTAAGGAGTGTAGCCATATTGGAAAACAGTTCGGCAGTTTCTTACAAGACTAAACATACTCTCACCATATGAAACAGCAACTTCGCTCCTTAGTATTTACTCAAAGATGGTTGAAAAGTTATTTCCACACAAAAACCTGCTCATGTTTATAGCCATGTTTACTGCAGATGTTTGTAGAGACTTTGTGCACAATTTCCAAATGGAAGCAACCAGGGCATCCTCCTGTAAATGAATGAATAAACCTTAGTACATCCAGTCAATGGAATAGTATTCAGCACTGAAAAATAATGAGCTGTCAGGCTATGAAAAGATATGGAGGAAACGTAAACTCATGTTGCTAAGTGAAAGCAGACCATCTGAAGAGGCTACATAGACTATATGATTCCAACTCTATGACTTTCTAGAAAAGACAAAACTCTGTATGACACATACTGGTGATTACATGCCACTGTACATTTTCCAGACCCGTAGAATGTATAGCACTATGGGCTTTGGGAGATGATGATGCGTCAGTGAAGATTCACCGGCTGTAACTAATGCACCACTTCTAATGGGGATGTGGCCAATGGGGGAGCTGTGTATGCATGAGAGCAGGGTGTACATGGGAAATCTCTACCTTCCTCTCAATTTTGCTGTCAACCTGAAAGTACTCTAAAAAATTAAATCTATTTTAAAAACAAGAGAAAGGCATGGATGAGAATCATAGATGAAAACACACTTAAATCTGTCTAACAACGTCATTTGGATCCTAGCACGGACAAACTATAAAATAAATAAAATTAAGACATGTGAGAGGCAACTGGAAATGTGAACAGACACTGGATTTTTAATGGTATTTAGTGATATTGTTGTTACTTTACAGTGGGACAGTGGTTTTAAGGTTATGTAAAAAAAATAGTAGAAAAGCGTACTGAGATAAATATGGACAGAATATGTAGTGTCTGGGGTTTGTTTCCAAACGATCCCAGGGAGTAGGTGCATGTGCAAATGAAAGATGATTGATAGTTGGGGAAGTTGAGGTGATAACTGCATGGGCTCTCATTATAATATTCTCTCTACCTTTGAATTTTTCCACCATAAAATGTCAAAAGGAAAAATTAAGTGAACCAAGGACAAGCCTATGTCATCAGGCATTCTGAGATTGTGTGGCATGCAAATGCTACTGGAGTTTTTTTGAGAAAGCCAGAGGGCCTGCGGTCAATCTTTCTGAGGCTGATGGATCTCTGTTTTGTAAAATTCTTCCTAAATTTTTCCTTTGGGTACACATAGTTATAGTCTCCTGGATATCATAGGGTATCCTTTTATAGTCATTTTAACTAACATTTCGGTTTCTCATCCTTGTCTGTTTCTGATACCATCACCAGGGACTTCAGAGACAAGGAATAATCAGGGAAGGCTACCTGAAGGAGGTGGCCAAACAGGAGAAAAGCCAAAGTAAAGCCCCGGAGACAAGCATTTCACAGCCGCCCTGGGACAGTGAGGAGAGGAGACTGGCTCAAGCAGAGAAATCTTGGTGCATGCAGGAATGCGGAGGTATGTGGGGGAGCCACAGGTGCTAAGTTTAGAGCCAGGCGAACCTTGAATCCCAGGTGGAGAAGTCTGATTTCCTTGCGGCAATGTACTGCTCAATAGCTCCCCAGTGCCCACGGAAGAGAGTCAAGTGTTTCTCTGTGAGTCAGTGGAGGTGGTAGCATTATGCAAGCTGGATTAACAAAAAAAGAAAATGGAAGGAGAGAGGGAAGAAGCTAGAACAGAGGGAAGCAGAGAGGAGGAAGCCTCTTAGATAGCTGGTGACAGAGATCTGTGTGTCTCAAAGAGTGTTCAAAGGAAGCCCAATCCTTCCAGATCCTCCCAGAAAAGAGGGTATCAAAGATAGGAGTTTGGGAAACACTCCATTTGTTCTCAGTATTACCATTCTTGTTAACATATAAAGGGCTTGACGAGTCTTGTCAAGGCAAAAGGGTCATTTTAATTTTGTTTAAGTATTTTATCACCAAAAACACCTCTATTTTGCTCTTTGTTTTTTGGGAATCTGTGCCCTAAACCATCAGGCAGTTGTGACAATTTCCAGCTTTTCAGTTCCAGGCTACGCAATGATCTCTTGTCTTAAAACCCCACTCAGTCACCCCGCCCTCCCCTAGCATCTGGACAGTGTCTAGTCCAGAGGACTGTGGAGCCCAGGCCCCCGGCCTGTGCCCCCGCGACACAGCCCCCAGCAGGCTGACCCACTTTTCCAGCATCTCCACAGCCTCCCAAGGAGGCTCAGGCAAGCATTATGATCTCGTCGAGCCCTTCAGCACGAGCTTTCCCATCACGGGTGTTCGATATGGATAAAGCAATTATGTCAAATGGGGGGAGAAATGGGGGAGCGGGCGCCAAGGGACCTTCCCATCTCACTGTTCCAGAGCAGAACAAGGGCCGCTGGCTTTGAGGCGCCCAGAGCTGTGATGCTGGCTCAGACGTGGTACCAAATTAATAATCTTTGCTGTAGATCCTGGGAGTTAGGAAGAGGGAGGGGTGGGGGCCTGTGTCCCTCCACCTGGCACTCCTGATGGGCTCTACGACCCAGTTCTGCAGAATGATCCAGGTGGCACCATCCCCCACCCCCTCCCACCAACACCCAGCCTTGTCGACTCATGGGGACTGACAAGGACCCGCCTTGCCCTTTGCTGGCCTGGAGCTGCTGGTCTTCAGGTAGGAGGTCTGCGCGGCAAACCCCCACTCTCCTGCATCGACTCGTTCCCAAGCCAGCCCTGGGCTGTTCAGGCTTTGGGCAGACAGCCTGAGCCAGACTTCTAAAAAGCCCTTCCCTCGTGGGGCTTCCTTTCCAGCAGGAAGGTAGAGGGGGCACAGAAAGTGAACAGGTGCCAGCCAGGAACCAGATTGCTCCCTTCCCCAGAGAGGGTAGGCCTGATAAAGAGAGGCAGATAGCCTAAGGGGTAGGCTGCGGGGGACCCAGAACTCAGACTGCTGTGGAAGGAGAGTACGGGCCCCGAGTAGTTGACTTTCACTGGAAATGCATCCGAAATCCTAACTCTTACTGGGCCCACCTCCCCGCCCCACAATGGTCCAGCTGCCATCTGGATTGCATGTCTCCCCTGGTTTGCTACAGCAGCGACTTCCCCTTCTCTACTCAGCCAGGGTCAGCCGGGGATAGCCTTATCTGCCTGTCTCTTCCCTGTCTCTGCCCCTCCTCCTTCACCTCAAGTATCCATAACACTCCTGCCCCAGGGCCTTTGCACTTGCTATTCCCTCAGCCTGGAAAGCTGCTCTTTGTGTAAATGCTCAGCCGACTGCTCAATACCACCTCTTCAGAGAGAGACCTTCCCTGACCAGCCCACCTCAAAGGGCTCCCCTCATCCTGCTCTATCCTTTTGACCTTTGACCTCTAGTCTCCTCTTACCACTTGACATTCATTATACTTTCATTTATTCAATTGCTCATTATTTGTGCTAAAAATAATGAGACATATTCATGCCTCGATCCATGAGGACAACAGTGTTGCTATTTTGTCCATCACTGTATTCCCCGCACCTGGAACAGCGCCAGGCACATAGTAGGTGCTGAGTTTTTTGTGGGGTTTTTTTTTTTTATTTTATATGTTTTGTTGGATGGATGAAGTGAGTGAGTCAGACTCTCGGCAGACACTGCAGATCCCCAGAGAACTTGGATGGTAACTGCTTCCTGCGCCCCCTGGTCCATAGCAGATGGGCCAAGCAGGAACAGGGCTCAGCCCTCAGTCCAGGAAAACATTCAAGGCACTGATGAAAGGTTCAGAGGCCTCTGGAAAGGCAGTGGACACCACCCTGCCTCCCTCTGCTGCTTGAGTTGCCTCCCTGCCTCCAGGCAAGTGGCCAGGCACGCTGTGATCTGATTACAATTTGTCCTTAGAAAATTTGGGAATTGCAAGAGAGCACAAAGAAAATGGAACTAACCCCTGACCCCCTGTATATACTATCCGTTCCTGTCTCACAGACACGGAAACACGCTCAGAGAGAAAACATGACTTGTGCCAGGTCACATGGCCAGTTCAGGGCCATGGTCAAGCCGGCCACGCCTCCTGCTCCCCCTCCAGAACTCTGTGCAGGAAGGCAGCTCCCTGCGGGTGCAGCTCCCAGGACAGGCGGAGACCCTGAGACTGAGTCCAGCCGGTGGTTCGCCTGTCTCTCCGCATGCTGGACCACCAGGCAGAGGCGCCTCGTCCAGAGTGTGAGCTGGGCAGGTAATAGCAGAGGGCAGCAGCATCCCACGCGCCATGTCAGATTGTCAGCGGTGCCAGATGCTGCCAAGTTCAAGGAGGTAAAGTGACTAATATGCTTGTGTCAAAATAAAACACAAAGCAGTGAAACTCAGAGGAACATTTTCTTCCCCCAAACAAAATGTGCACAGCCCACCTGTTAGTCCAGGTCTGGGCCAACTGCAGAGGCAGGTGGGAGGATAGGTTACCCTGCTCTGCCAGTGCCTCTGGGTGAGCCTCACCTTGTGGGGGCAGCGCAGGTCCAGGAGACTCCAGGGCCTTCAGACTCTCAGCCGCCTCGACACTTTGCTGCTCAGAGCACAGCCCCGCGGTGCCCTGCCTCCCGCACCTTACCCTGGGATGGAGACACAGGTCCCCCCCTGTGCCAGGCACTCCGGTCCTGTTTGGATGGGGAGCAGGGGTGAGTCAGAGTAAGCTTGTGGCTCATCTCCAATGCCAGCCAGCCCTGTTCCTCCAGTGGCTCTCCCTTCCCCAGGTCCAGGAGTGCCATCGGTCTGGGCACTGCTGCCATCCTGAGTCTTCCAGATCTTAGTTTATTCCCCTCCCTCCCAACACCCAGGCTTTAACTTTTGACACTCAAGAGGCAAGAAGCGACTTCTGATGCCCAAAGGGTCATCCCTCCCCCATGGCCAAGTGCCCTATTAAAAAAAAAGAGGCGTGCCAGGGAAAGAAGGAAGATGGATATTTCAAAACGAAAACCATCTGGTCATATAATTTTACATTTATTCTTGTGATCAATTAATCTCTGTCTCCCTTAGACCATAAATCCCCTGGGGGAAGGACTTGCATCTGATTTGGCTCACTGTCCTAGCTCTGGTGTCTGGGATGGGGCCTGATGAGCTGAGGAGAATGAAGAGCACATTAAGGGAGAAATGCCCTCGGGATCCCCGGATGACTCGGGAAGAACGCCGGAACCACGCAAACCCAGGGATGGTGCCAAGCTGGGGTCTGGGAAGGTAGTTGTGTAAATCCTGTTTTCAAAATTTTTTAAACCCTAATCAAGTGGGTCAGCCCTCGCCTCCTCCCCCGCTACCGCCGGTCCTCCTGTGGCTGGCTTGCCCAAACTCACCAGGATGGCAGCCTCTTTGATTTTGCCCAGACATAACAACCATCTAGGGGCTCTGGTGGGCTGTTGGCAACATCACAGACCACAAGCCCCGTTCCAGACCGCATGCCCAGTACTGCCAGTTTCTACCTGCCCTTCATAGGCGTGCGTGTCTCACACGCCACCCTGCAGATGTGGGCTGTGGCGGACAGTTTGGCAGAGAGCGTGGTGCATAGACTTACCTGACAATCCATGTGAGCATTGATGGGGAGAAGGCACAGGACCCCAGCCCAACAGCTGCTTCCCAGAACCCAGCCCTGCAGGTAAGCACGTGCCCAAAACACTTTCTTCCTGGTCCAGAAGTGCCTTTAGCCCAGGAGGAGGGAGAGAAAGGAAGTGAGAGAAGCATTATTTTGGATCCCAGGGAGGACTTCTGAGGGGTGCAAAGCTGCACCAGGAGCTGCAGTGGTCACCTCCTACTCCCTCTGGCCAGGGCCCTCCACCAGACCTTCGTGCCTGGCACCGTCCACCTCCTCTGGGCAGGAAAGCAGGCCCACAGCTGTCTTCCCAGAGCCTAGGATCCGCTCACTACCCCAGAACCTGCTGGGTGGGATTTTTAATGGTCTCTCTCCAGGTCCCTGCTAATAATCTTCCTAACAGCAGCTCACCATCGTGAATTGCTCATTCTTTCCAGTGCTAAATTGGGCAGGGCGCTTGACAGTTTGCTCATTTCATTTCAGTCCTCCCAATGCTCCCTTAAGGAAGATACAAGCTCAGGCCATTCGACAGAGGAGGCCCAGAGAGGCGGGCACAGAGCGTGGTTGTAGGTAGGATTATTTGTGCACTGCCTGGAGCCGTGCCTCCCGCCCCTGCTCCAGGCTTAGCTGATGAGACAGAAGGAAGCACGATGCAGAGACCACTGGGAACTTCAAGTCCCTTTTGCCACCCCAGGAACAAGCCTGGCTCGCCTGCCAGAAGTGGAGACAGGCCCGGCAGTTCCGTCATTCCAGATGAAGCCACATTAACCAGCCCATGCTGGGGATCCACCTCGTCAGTAGACACGTGAGCAAGCTCAGCCAAGATCAGCCGAGCCCTGAACAACCAAGGTGCCCACTGAGAGATGGTGGGGTTGAGACTATGTGATCCAGCCACGTCACAGAGTGTTCCTCAACCTTAAGGAAAGACGAAATGTTGCTGTTTAGAGCAAAATGGAAGGTGCCTGAGGGAATTCTGTGTAGTAAAGCAAGTCAGAAAAAAGACAAATTGTACATTTACATAGTAGACAATTTGACAAAGCAAAATACTTACGAAAACTAGCAGACTGACTCCAACTGAATTGCCGACCCCCCAAATTATACATGGTAGTCACACCGAGCCACTGAGCCATGGGGTGTTTGTTGCACAGCAAAAGCCCCCTGTCACAGAGGTGAAGTCATTTGGCCAAGATCACACAGCAGGGCTGGGATTTGAAACCAACCTTCCTGGTCTTAGAGCCCATGCTCTCAGCCACTAAAGCTTTAGTATTTGCAAAGCGCATCTTGTTTCATTGCAGGCCTCTAGCATGTCCATGAACCAATCATGGAAAGAAGCTCAGAGATGTCAAGGAACCTGTCTAAGGTCACACAGCCATCAGACCTGGAGGAGGGCATCCAACTCAGTTGGATCCCACATCCATGCTGCTCCCATCATTCCGTGAAGCCTGCAACAGCCAGAAAGTCACTTCTTTAGCACCTGAGGCCCCCCACAAGCCGCCTCCTATTTCATGAAAGACCTGGTTGTCTCCCTCCCACCATGAGATGCTCAGACAGAACAGGTGGCTCCCTTAGCCAGGGAGCTATGGCTGCTGAACTGACCCTGTCTGCGCCCCACAACTCCCCTCCCTGGCCAGTAGGAGATGTCGGTTGTCTTGATACAGCAGGTGATAGGAAAGGATGACAGGTGAGGTCACAGCAGGAACTGGGCAGAACATGGACAGGTAGAAATGGCTTCCCAGATTCACTCAGGCCCTTTCACCAGCCTGGAGTGAGGCAGGAGTATAGGACTGGCTCGGCCATGCCCAAGCCAGCACAGGAGACCCAGGCATGACAGGGAAGAAGGGAGGGCTGGCAGTGGGGTGTGGGGTTGGGGGGGTGGCGAGTCAGTAGCCCAAACCTGCCAGGTCTGATTAGAAGGCACTGGGGTGCCATGGGCTGGAAGTGGCCCCGGAGGGCAGCGGAGCCCTGACTGAACACGTACAGAGCAAGGACTAGAGGTGAGGTCTGCCTCCCGGAGGTGGGCTGTGATGAGGTCCCCCTACTCCACCAAAAACTAAACAAGGAAGAGGCTTTTGTGGCACTAAGTCTTTGGGCTGCTGTGTGAGGTGGGGCAGAGGTCTTCAGCCCTCTGAGCCCCGCTTCTCACCTGGCGAAAGGGGAATAACATCACCTGTCTCATGGCTTGTTGTGAGGCCTAAGCGAGAACATGCGAAGGCCATCTCTTGTAGTCCCCAGTGTGGAAGCAAAGCCGTTTTCCCAGAACCAGCTTTGCTTCCACATTGTGTGTTTTTCTGAACATTCAGTGTTCACTCGGCTGGGGCACCCTGACCCCAACTGACTTCTCCTCATTCAGTTTGATAAATGGGCTTCAGGCACCCTGATCCTAACTGACTGCCAATACCCATCTAACGTCCTCATTCACAATCATCTCCACATTCCACGCGGGTGGAAACTGAGGCTCAAGGTGCTGCTCACAAGCGTCATCACCCTGACTGCCCTCATCTGATGGTCCTGATGACACGGCCAGGAGGGGGTTCTGGGAAAACAGACCAAATAACCCGGGAGACCCAGCAGGCTTCAGCCAATCAACAGGAGACACCCAAAACCCAACCCCCACTCCGGCCCACTATACCTATTTAAACTCCCGCTTCTTGCTCCCTCGGTGGCAACCTACTTGGGGCCCCTCTCTGCTCGGAGAGTTTCTCTTTCCTTTTCCTCATTTGTCAATAAGTCTCGCTTTTCTGCTAACTCTGATCTCAAAGTTGAATTCTTTCTTCACCAAGACAAGAACCGACCCCTTGGAGCCCAGCTCCGAAGTTTTTCAAAAGTCTATCAAGATGTGAAAAGTTGCTTCTTTCTTTTTCTGGCCTGCATGGTACTCCACTACCATCATTTGTTTGCCAGTCTCTCCTACTCTTGGACTTTTTTGCTGTTTCCTGTCAAACTATCACAGGGCTGCAATAAATTATTGGAAATCTAGGGGGAAAACTGAGAAGCTGAATCTTTAGGTCAAAGAACATGAGTAATCATGATTTTGCTAGAAAATGCCAGCCTGCTCTCCACAGAGATGCACCAGCATGTTTTCAAGGTCCTATTTGTTTCCACCCAGAATTTTAGCATATTTTTTAAACGTGCTTAATCTGAAGGATAATTGATATCTCTACCTACTTTTAATTTGCTTTTTTCTTATTAGGGAAAGAACAATTAACTTAGCATATGCTTATGAACCAATTATAGCTCCTTTCCTACAAACTGTCTTTTCCTAACATTTTCTCACCTTTCTTACTAGGTTATTTTTCTTATTTATGAGAACTCTTTGTTTATTAAGGAATTTGGCCTCTAGGATAGGAGCTTCAGCATTTTCCCCACTTTTTCATTCAACTCAGTCTACATCAAAATTATTGGGTTAGATTTTGTGGCATTTCTGGGGTCTGTGTCCAAGAAGCACCTCAAATTTTAAACTTTAACGCACCCTGACTCCCCATGTCAGTGTCTGACCCACTGCCAGTACTGGCACCTGTTACCTGCATCCAGCCCACCTGGACAGCTCTACCTGGCTCTGGCTAGACATCCTTCTCCCCTCTTCCTGGAGCTCTGCCTCCCCAACCCCATATTGACTCTTGACTTCGAGCCACTTCCCAGGCCCCCAGCTCCTCTGCCTAATCAGCTCTCCCCAGCAAGTTCCAAACCCTCCTACTCAGCACCCCAGCCTCTCCAGGTGAAGCGATGCTCTTCTCACTCCTGCCTCGTTTCCTACTTCTCCCCCGTAGGTGGTATTGGTGCAGCCATCTCCCCTCCTCGCTCCACTCCTTGGCCCAAACTGGGCTGGTGGAAGAGCGGGGGGCATAGATGACAGGGTGGGTAAAGGGGGAAGATCAGGAGGCAGGAAGGAATCTCCCCCAAACCTCTGCTAGCAAATCCCAACATGGCTTCCTCCTTCACAGCAACTTAGCTGAATTTCTATCTTTATTAATCAAATAACAAATTTAATTAATTACCTTAAATTGCTCTAATTGAATCTAGAAAGAGAGCATGGACAAAATCCTAAGAAGTAATGAGCCCAGGCGTTTCTAGCATCTGGAGTTGAAATGATCTTTAATTTCAATTTGGGAGCAAAAATAATGTAACGGCAGTCAAACCCTTCCCCCTACCCTGCTCCCTGTCAGCTCCATTACCACCTACATCACTGCCAGGGCCTCAGCATTCTGTTCTCCCTTCTTAGCTGTGATGTTCTTTCTGCCTCAACTTATCTCAATCAAGAGTTGGGTGAAAACCCCATTTGCAGCTCTTCTCTAAGTCCTGAGCTTGTGAGGGGCCCCGAGGGTGCAGATACAGACTCTAGAGGCACCTGTGATGAGACAAGCTGTGGGCTAGGCACTTGGCAGGTCTCTGGCCTTTACCCCCGCTGTGCCCTCTGCCAGGGGTACCCTTCCTTGCTACTTTCCAGCTGCTTCACCCCTGTTTTCAAGGGCAGTCCAGAGGCTTCTTTAAAGGAAGC